AATGATAAACCTGTGAGTTGGATGTAGAAAAGTCAGAATCAATATAGATGTTTTTTATTTTAAAGAAAATTCAGATTGAACATAGTAAAAAACTGTAAATTATAGTGTCCGTCCAAAAATTCTTTTTTACTTATAGTGAAAACTACCCTTGGATGATGGTAAGGTAGACTAAAAGCTTTAGGAATCCAAAGTACAACATATAATAAGTACCCTGTATCAATATAGATGCAAAACAAGTGACATTTGACCTTTTTAGAGAGATTTAGCAAAAGAAAACCACTTCTGGGGTCATTTGGGTGGATTTTCCATATCTCTGGCCCCCCTTGGTCGATTTTGATGGTTGACACCTCTTTCTGACCGTTAGAGCCAATAGAATCGAAGGGGGATTTCCCCACTCACACACATGGTAAAAAAAAAGGTGGGGCCTTCGCGCATGCAGTTTTTTATGGATTATCAGAAATCATTTCAAAGGGACACAGACACATTGGATTAACCTATGGATTAACTTCAGCAGCGTTTTTATCGTTTTAATGCCATTGAAGACCACTTTTGACCAGACTACGACACAGGTAAGCCATGTTAGCGTTTTTAGCTACCTAGCGCCACATGTTTTGATGTCTGTTTTTGTTTATAAAGTCGCGAGTTCGTATCATAGAGTGATAATGTATGTACCCATCGATTCTGTGTCACCTCACGATGTGAATCGATGTGTTGGATGTGCAGAAAAGATAAATAATAAGGTTTTATGATTTTTGGTGCAGTAATCTGTTAGCATTTTTCGCTCGTTGCTAATTCAGAGGCTCAGCGTTAGCATTGTGGGTTTTATTTAGAAAAATAAATAAAAATTATCAGTTAGATGAGTTTCTTCCCGTTACATGGATATAAAACATTCATTGTTTATTAAATGAACATGCCCTCAGACACTGTTTCCTGCAAGATGTTGCGGGAGGGCCCCGGTACCGGGGTCTCTCGGGCTAAACAGGTTAATGCTGCTGTGTCCGACTTTCTCTCCCACAGCCAGCCCGATATCCTCCACAGTGCATGGGAAGCCGGCTGAGATTTTAATGCCGTGCTTCCGCGTGAGTTTGGCAAACTCCCCATTTACCATGGCGTCAGACGCCAGCCGGCGAGACACCGGCAGGAGAAGCCCACTAAACACCCCACAAACACCACCAAAAAGCACGAAAAGTAAAGCAAATCAAAGCACCACCGATAAACTATACTGAATGAATGAACACCCATTACACAAAAATAAACTGAAAATATAACGCAGAAGTCTCGCTCTTCTCTTTCGCTCACACTCCAAAATCTCCCAGCATGCACCAGGAAGAAGAAGAAGAAGAAGAAGAAGAAGAAGAAGAAGAAGAAGAAGAAGAAGAAGAAGATGATGATGATGATGATGATGATGATGATGATGATGATGATGAGTAACACTGAATGTAAACACAACATTATTCCGTCATGAGGAGCTCCGTACGGCCATCCTGAACGTATAGACGTGTTTTTGTGGAGAGAGCTCTAACGCACCATTGACTGATTTTAACCTCATGAAGTTTCTACATTGGGAAGTGCAGAGTCGATGGTACTTCTAGGTTTCACTTTACACATGATTGATTGAAGACAGAAGAATATCAATTAGTGCAACTTTAACCTCCCGAGACCGTCAGGATGTCTGGGTTCAGTCAGAGGCTGCTGCCTGTAACTTGTTTCATTTGAGACCAAAATAACCGAGACTCGATCTGCACACAGTCAGTCTGTCGGGAAAAATGCTCCAAAGTTAGGCTTAATTTTCAGGGGGGAAAACTGGCGTAGCCATATTCACAGGGGCCCCTTGACCCCTCATCTCAACATATTTGAAAGAAAATGTGTTCTATAGATACCCACGAGTCTCCATTTTTCCCTAAACATGCTATCCCCATACAGTTTGGGCCAAAAACCATGCAGTATTTTGTATTTGGTATAAATGTGTCATTTCTCAATATTCTACAAATAGTGTATATTTCAACATGCTAGGTGGTTTAGTAATTTTATAATTTCAATAAAACTAAGCTTGATTGAGCTCAATTGCATAAATCTGTGACGATATTGGTTCCTATAGAAACCATTGCATAGTTTGGAGAATGTTGTCATTCCAGATGTCCAACGTTTTTAATACCAAATTACAGCATGGGTTTTTTATGGTGTTCCCCAGGTTTGGTGTCTTCTTGTATTTTGGATGGATCTTTGACAATTTGTATCTGTTCTTGAGTGGGCAATTGTTTTCCAAAATAGAGCATAGGATTGACCATCGTATAGTTTGATCATACTGTTCTAACCACTTGTAAATTCTAAACATTTTAAATGGTGCCTAACTAAAGTACAGTGTTTAATAAAAATGACCAGAAACACCTGACAGGGCTGAGCTGCGTGTCACAGCTTCAGCTTCAGATGATGTACAATGCTTCCATGTGGCAGATAGTGTTGACTTTGTTTTATATCCCCATAAAGATCCCATGACCCCCCTAAAGTGGCAAGGTGTGTCTCTGTTGCTCTAGGGGTTCATGTTGGTGGTGTTTCTTTACGATTCTTGTTATATTTTGGTCCTCACCTTAAAGGTCCCCTATTATACTCTTTTTCAACAATATATTACAGGTCACAGATATATACAAAACATGTCTCTGAAGTGTTTGTCTAAAACACCAAACAGATCATTGCAGCATCCCATAATCCCCTCTGTTTCAGCCCTGTTCCAAAAGTGCTGATTCTGGGTCTGTAGCTTTAAAGGCTAATGAGCTGCTGCTGGCCACGCCCCTCTGAGAGATGATTGGTTTAAAATAACACAATGGTGCTCTAGGAGGAGATTCAGGTGATAAGGGGGGGGGGGGAGGGGGGGTTAATGATACACAACCAGATAAAGATTGTGACATCACAAAGTGACCAAAATCTGATCAGCTCATTTTCAGACAGGTTTTTATATAAATGGATCAGGATAAAAAGTGAGCGAATCTTTTTTCCTGAAACTTTCTGAATCTCTTAAAGGGCCCATGTCATGCTTTTCCGGTTATTACCCGTCCCCTTGTGTGTTATGAAGGTTTTTATGCATGTAAACGGTGTGCAGAGTCAAAACCCCTCAAAGTACACCCTGTAGGGAGTAAAACTCTAACACAGAGAGTTAGAGTTTGGAGCAAAACGCCTCGTTGGAGATTTCTCATTTTCCAATGTTTTCTTCCCGGGTATCGTGACGTAGGGATACCCAGTAGCCACGCCCAGAGCTATGGCCGCACCCTCTGCCAGCCGAACATATATACTGTTGGAAGCTCAGGTTCAGTTCAAAACTGTATCCAGTCATGCCAACGAGGGTCTGTTTCCCGTCTTGTGAGGGGAAATCTTCAATGTATGCCTTACGAGGGCAGAACCACGACGAAGTCAGTGGTTGACATTTCTTGTTAACACTGTTCCTTCAGATGTTCGAGCCGGTATTGTACTGTGTGCGCGGCATTTCATGGACCAAAGCTTCGCAAACATTGCAGCGATTCATGCCGGATATGCACAGCGTAGGGCACTGAAGGACGATGCTGTTCCTACTTTGTTTGGACCAGCGGGAGATTCGGGTACACAACCTGTAAGTACGCATTGTTGTTTGTGTATTTATGATGTTTAAAACAAACAAGGTATCTACCACGACTGTTTAAATGGGTAAACGTTTTTTGGGCTGCTAAGCCATTGACACAGTGCTAACTGGGCTAACTAAGTTGCTAGCGTTTCCATATATCAACTCCAATGTCAGCAGATGGCCATACATGTATCTCATAGCAGGAGAATGTCTGCATTCACACACGAAATACTCATAGACAGTATACTCCGGGTGATTTACCGTACGGTCAGTCGCAAAACTTAATTACATTATAGTTGGCGTTCCTAGCGTGTATGCTACCGAGCTAAACAAGAAGGCTACCAAGAGCTAGACATGCTAGGGAAAACATTGTTTTTATGCCAGCTACAATGAATGACCGAACGTAGCAGACTACCCGTATAAGATTGCAATTGTAAACATGTTCTTGCTAGCCTAATATGAACCACTAGCTGTTGTTCATAGTAGGTTGGCATATTACACTGAACAACTAGCAAACGTAGGTTAGCATAGTAATCTAGCTGGCAAGCTAACAAACCTAAAACTAGGGGCCTGGCCGATTATCGGGGCCGATATTCCGCATTTGACCGATTATCGGTATCGGTATCGGCCTTTTTTTAATCAAATTGCCGATAAAACTTTGGCTCTGATGCGGCCGTTTCTCTGGCTGCAGTCACCACTCTGTGTACACGAGCAATGTCCCGCCCACAGCGCTATCTGATAGGCTATTACTGAAGTGTCAATCAACACTGAAGATTTTCCGGGCGGGAGCCAGCCAGAGAGGCGGGACCTTCTCAGATTATAGGCAGGTGCGAAAGAACGCAGACACAGACTGAAGCAAGCAGCAGCGCTGAGCGGCAGAGCCATACATGTGTTTCGAAGGTAAGTCAGTTGAAAGCCGAAGTTCAATAAACATCCCAATCCCCTATGCTGAAGTTGCAAAAACACCACGATCTTATGATCCAATTCTATCAGTTTTCCAGTTACACAGAGACGCGGGAAGTCAGTCAGAGTTGGGGGTGCGTTCAGCGTCTCGCAGCGGAGTAACTGTGGTGCAGAGGGGGGGGGGGGGCTGCGAGTGGAGCCTCGCAGTTTTTCAGGTTGATATGTGAAGCTCATTAGCTAGCCAACTTGTATCTAGCAAATGTTTAGCAAAATATTAGAAGTGAGGCTACTAGACTAACGTTAGGTCTACTGTAATAGCCTCACTTTTAATATTTTGCAAAACATTAGCTAGCACTAGTGTTTTGCAGTTGCTAGCAGCTTATTGGGATTTTATGCTAGATAGACAGGCATTGTTTTGATATAATAAATTAAGCATTATTGTTAGTTAAGCATGTCAGCCTGCAGCCCCACTTTGAACTCTCTGTCTCTCTCTAACTCATTGCAGATGGCTGCATTAAAGAAAAGGGCAACAAGTGCAGTATGGGAGTATTACACTCAAACAACACAGGGGAAGGCAGTCTGCAATACATGCAAAGTAGGTGTCAGCATGGGATCAACAAGTGCAAAAGCGACAAATACGTCAAACCTGTGGTCCCATCTTAGGAATCATCACCCTGGTATCTATGGAACCGCACAGGGGAAACGTGAATCTGAATCTCAGCAGGGGACAATGACTCCAACTCAGCCTACAATGCATGACATGCTTGAGAAACAAAAAAAGTGGCCAAAATCTGATAACCGATCTATACAAATGGACAAACTAATTACAGAGATGATTGTCACTGACAACCAACAGTTCACACTGGTCTCTGATGTTGGCTTTAAGCGCCTCATGGCTGCAGCGGAACCACGATATGCGCTGAAAAATGAGAAGTATTACCGCACTTTAAAGCTGTATGATGTTCACCACAAGGTTGTAGAGAAGATAAAAGCCCTGATCCAACCAGAGAATGCTGGCCACTCACTCTCCTTCACTACAGACTGCTGGTCTGGATCAACCGAGACACTGATGAGCCTAACATGCCACTTTATTGACAATGAATGGACCAGAAAGCAGGTTGTTTTGAATACAAAGGCGATGCATGGATCCCACACTGGGGAATATATCGGAGAGACATTCCTCGGCATGCTTGATCACTGGAAAATAAGCAAAGACTGTGTAGCACTTGTGCTTCGAGACAGTGGAGCAAATATGGTCAAGGGAATGAGGCTTGCTGAACTCCCAGACCTCAGCTGCACAGCGCACTCATTGCATCTCGTGGTGAATGATGGTCTGTCAAGTCAAAGAGCCGTCATAGATGTCATTGCGATGTTAAAGAGGTGTGCCACCCATTTCCACCACTCAATTCTTGCCAAGCAGCGTTTGAGGGCCATTCAGAAGGACCTTGGCTTGCCAGAACACAACCTAGTCCAGGCTGTCCCGACCAGGTGGAACTCAACGCTCCACATGCTGCAAAGAGCACTGGAGCAAAAACGTGCTCTTAGCATCTACGCCGGTGAACACGGAGGATTTGCCTGTCCTAATTCTCACCAGTGGGACATTGTGTCCAATTTGGTCGAAACTCTCATCCCAATAGAGGAAGTGACACTAGAGGTGAGCCATAACAACTCCTCAGCGTCCTGCATCATTCCATGTCTGACTGTGCTGAAGATGCTATTTCAAGGTGAAGGGCCCTCGACACAAGGCATCAGAACACTCAGGCAAGTCATGAGGGAGAGCCTGGTCAAACGTTTCTCAAAACTGGAAGAAACAAAGATGGTGGTGCTGGCATGTCTCTTAGATCCTCGCTATAAAAATCATGTATTCTCCTCTGACGCTACACTGACCAAGGCCAAAGAATGGCTGAAAGAGGATGTGACTAGTCAAGAAGAGCCTGCCGCTACAGAAGGAGTCAACAAGAAAGAGCCTGCTGCTGCAGAAGATATCAGTGAGGAAGAGCAGGCTGCTGCAGAAGATATCAGTGAGGAAGACAGAAGAACACCCAAAAGGCAACAGAGAGAACAGGTATCTTGTCGTAGCCGTATTGATGACATGTTCAGTTCTCTTCTAGCATCCCACACTGCTGAGCCGTTGGCTAAATCCTGCCTCGAGGATGACTTACATCTGTACCTCAAGGAGCCAGTGATCGACAGGCGTAAGGGAGATCCACTCCAGTGGTGGAGACAGAATGAAGGGCGCTTCAAGCTACTTGCCACACAAGCAAGAAAGTGTCTTTGCCCACCACCCTCGTCTGTTCCAAGTGAGCGGATCTTCAGCGAAGTCTCTGCCATCTACGAGAAGAACAGAAGCCGTCTCACTGGAGAGCATGCTGAGCAACTCTGCTTTCTGCACCACAATCTGGTGCTGCTGAATTGGGAATACTAAACTCAATTTTCAGAAGTTCAGAACAAGTTTTAGTAGTTTTTTTATTTTATTTTTACCTCATTTACTTTAATCAGGGTCACAGAGAGGAAACCAGTTGTAAGATGTTTAAAAGTTCATTAAACATAATATATGCTTAAATGCATTTCAAAGAAGTTGTGTTGGAGTTGGTGTTATTCTACATTTTGACACCAAGATTTTCTGATTTTACTGCAAATGTATATCGGTTCCAAATATCGGTTATCGGTCTCCTTGATTACTAATAATCGGTATCGGCCTTGAAAAAGCCATATCGGTCGATCCCTACCTAAAACAACTAAGTTTCTCTAATATTTTGTGATTTGCATTTGATTTCGTCCAGCCAGATCAGGAAACTCTTGGCGTATCCGGCGGACAACACATGACGGGATGACCACTCGTCCTGCCTCGTCCTAAGAAGCCCCAGCACCAGCTTACAAAGCTGCGATAGGCAAGATGCCGAAAACGCCTATAAGGGGAGGAATGGATGATATACCGTGTATATATGTATATTTACTAGGGCTGTCAAGTTAACGCGTTAATAACGCGTTAACGCAAAAAAAAATTAACGCCACTAATTATTTTAACGCGATTAACGCATGTGTATTTTTTGTCCTCGGCCGCCGTAGTTTCAGAGCGCATCGAGTGTAAAATACCATCGACAAGCTGATGCTGACAGCCCCGCTCCTGCTGCCCGCTTGTGGCAGACCACACTTCCACGCTCACTGGCAGGCCCGGACTGGCCATCGGGAGGACCGGGAGGGAGTGTGTATGTGTGGCGCGACTCACGCGAGCGAGGCACACCTTACGTGTTGTTGTTGTTAGCATCTGGGGCTAGCTAGCTGCGCTAACGGATATAAGGAGCTGTTTCAATGACATTTCGCCGACAACTGCGCCGAGCACTTGACTTTATGCAGGTAGCCAGACAGTGGGACATTGTACGAAAAGTCAGCACACTCAGCACGGATAGTACGCGCAACATGATTGCAGCGTCCAGGCAGCTCCCGTTCGAGCATATATGCCTTGAGCTGCACATAGCTCCAACGCTCCAACGAGCCATCACAGTGTACACACACACACACACACACACACACACACACACACACACACACACACACACACACACACACACACACACACACACACACACACACACACACACACACACACACACACACACACACACACACACACACACACACACAGTATTATTGTATGAGAGAGGTTCCAGGTTGAATTGAGGCGAATATTTGTAATGTTCAGAGGTTGTTGTGTTTAATATTCATGAGAATATTTGTCATTGTTCAAATGATAATAAACAAACATATAAAGCATAGTTGTCCACTCATATGTTGATAAGAGTATTAAAAACTTGAAAGATATCCCTCTAAGGTACATTTAGAACAGATAAAAAATGTGCGATTAATTTGCGATTAATCGCGATTAACTATGGACAATCATGCGATTAATCGCGATTAAATATTTTAATCGACTGACAGCCCTAATATTTACACATGTTCATTTTGTACATTTCTAAAAATAAAGTTGGATGGAAAATACTTAGTAGCCTTTCTTCCCTGAATGATTTGCTCCTATAACATATCATTCATATATTGCAAACCATGATTTGATTTTTCATCAAACACAGTAGTAGTTTATTACAGGTAAAAATAACTTACTCTTCTTCCGTTCTACACCTCAAAGGTCTATAATCAAATCTGTACATGTTATGGAGGTTCTGCAGGGTGTGGGGTATGTATGGTGTATATCTTGGCATATAATCAGGTGTGCACATAACTTTTTGAGTGAGTTACTCAGATGAGTACCAGGAGACAGCGTTTGGTACTCACCCCACATGAAGCGTGGTGTTAATAAGTGCAGTCTTCCTCACTGTCCTCCTCAGTGTCTCCTTCACTGTCCTCTATTTACACTTCTTGCATGCTAGATGATGAAGATGATGAAGATGCACCTCCCTGTCTCTTTGTAAGCCTCCGATTTGCTTTCTCCAAAACTTGTTGCCAAAACTGTGAAGTCCTTGCATTTCCTGAGGCCAAGTTGAAGGATCAAATACTAAGAAATTATCACATGACTTGAAGTCATATCTGATTTCAGAGGTGGGAAGTAACAAAGTACATTTATTCAAGTACTGTACTTAGGTACAATTTAAGATACTTGTAGTTTACTTGAGTATTTCTATTTTATGCTACTTTGTACTTCTACTCCACTACAGTTCAGAGGTAAATCATGTACTTTTCTTCCACTACATTTATTTAATACCTTTAGTTACTTTACAGATGTGGATGAATGATGTGAAAATATAATCAAGTGTTAAATCAGACTTTAGTTCCACCTGGAGTAAATCCACAAGTCATTCAAACTAATTTTTAAACACTTTAATGATCAATAATTATAAAACATATCATATACATTATTATGAAATGGACCAATCTGCAAAATGACTACTTTTACTGTCGCTACTTTAACTAGATTTTGATGATAATACTTTTCTAATTTTACTTGAGTAACACTTCTTCCACCTCTGTCTGATTTCAAACTCTTCCATTAACAGCCTGAGTAAGTTTGCAGCTGTGTGTTTTACTCCACTTTGTTGTAAATAAAACTGCAGCAGCTTGACCACAGAGCGTGAACGTTGTGATCAGCTGATTTTGCGCAGTTCTCCAGTGTGTGCGCGGGGCACAGAATGTGCACAGGGGAGTCTCCCACCGCAGCCAGTTGACGTAGTTTTGGTACAATTCTGTTGTACACACCGACGTTAACAGCAGCTCCGTCTGTGCACACGGCGACCAACTCTGTCGTCCAGTGATCTAAGCCTCTGCCTCCTGTGAAGCTTCACAGGTCCGTCGATTATGTCCTGCGCGGCACGGCCAGCACCCAGTTCAATCAGTCATAGAAAGTCTGAAGATTTTAGCAGGGAGCGAAACGGCAAAGTGGCTGCTTAATGTCTTTGTTTTTTTTGGACATGTCTAATAATTTACTCCACTGAGTATTGACAAGAAACATGTGTAGGCGAAATATGTGTTTTGTTTTGATGACCTATCAGGTACGCAAAGGCGCGTTGTGACACAAGTGACGTTACGCATTTCAGATTGTTGCCGCGCATGCGTACCTGCGTACCAGTTATGTGCACCCCTGCATATAATGTTGTGTGCTACTGTTGGTGTTTTCAGCTAGCTGGCTACATAATGTTGTAACTGTCACTTAGGCTACCTTTCTAATTTCTTTGCAAAAGACGTTTTCCACTTCAGTAGGCATCATGGCGCAGTTTCCACAAGTGCACCTAAATAACAACAGTTGTAGGTACAGTTCGGTTAGTTAGCATATAACATATACGGCTGTACCGACGCCATTGTAAAACTGATGTTCCGCTCAGAGCCGAAAAAAGCACTGTGTTAGACATGGGCGGAGCCTCTCTGGTGGTTGACTAATCAGAACAGAGTGGCCGAGCTGACCAATCGGAGCACACTGGGCTCACAGGGAGGGGGGGGGGCAGGAGCTCCAACAAGCCGTTTAGGACAGAGAGTAAATACACATACTTTACAGAGATGCTGTATGAGAAACCAATGTGAGTTTGGAACATTGAACAATATAAATCTATTCTAGTATACCTCAACAATGGAATTATGATCAGTGGAAATGGCCATCATAACCTTTAACACAGAGGAGACACATATGTATGTATAAAAGACATGAAAACGTGGATTTTGCATAATAGGTGAACTTTAAGTGATATATCTTACTGTTAATTTGATCTGGTTTGGAAGACAGACTTTCACTCATCTGTTCTTCACTTTGTAACTGAAGGAAATATGGAAGCGTGAGTGAGGCATTAAAGGAATCCTTATGGGTGACCTTTAAGATTTTTGCTGTATTTTAAAACTTTGACCTTAGTTTTCAACAACAATATATAATTTGTGTTACTGTTGTTAGTTCTGTTCCTGAAGTGCTTTTGAGCAAGTCATTGCACCACTGAACCTAAAATACAGTACACTGAGTCTGCATACGCAGAACTATACTGATGTGAATAAGCACATAAGCTGAGCTCATTTTCCCTGGAACATTGTGTGTGTGTGTGTGTGTGTGTGTGTGTGTGTGTGTGTGTGTGTGTGTGTGTGTGTGTGTGTGTGTGTGTGTGTGTGTGTGTGTGTGTGTGTGTGTGTGTGTGTGTGTGTGTGTGTGTGTGTGTGTGTGTGTGTGTGCGTGTGTGTGTGTGTGTGTGCGTGTGTGTGTGTTGTGGGAGGAGCTCTGAGATTGGTGGCTGAGAATAGACTGCATTCTGCAGTCTATTCCTGCCCTGGATGTGGGGGGGAACCAGCAGCAGGAATGTGTCCCTCCAGAGCTCACGTCCTTCAGGGATATATTTCTGAATATGCTACTAGTAATTTTAGCAGCTTTACCTTTTTTGTTCAAAAAATGCTCCTTTGCTATTTCTATTCTGCAGCAACTGTGGACACATGGTGCCAGTAATGGCTGCACATAGAAGCTTCCCTGACATCTATTGTTCCATTGCCTGAGAGCAGAAGCTAAATAAAGGAGCATCTAAACCTCTCAAGTCTTTTTTTATGCTGAACTGTTTTGTTTTGCAGTGGTCAGGAGCAGACTCACACTGTGAGAGGCTGGCTGCTGTACAGAGGAGTGTGTCCCTGCAGCTGCTGGACACTAAGCTACACTAAGAGGGAATATTGGGCTATCATTAATCAACACAACTCATGTATGCTAATGTTGCCCTTTCAGAAGAAGTAAAACCTTAAACTTAGAGATTCTTTACCTAAATATAACGTTGTGTAATTTAAACAGAGTATATACTGTATGTATGGTACAGCGGTGGAAAAAGTATTCAGATTCTTCTCTTGAGTAAAAGTACCAATACCACACTGTAAAAATGATCAATTTCAAGTAAAAGTACTGCATCGAGTATGGTACTAAAGTAAAAATATTTAGGTAAGATAAGTAAAATGTACTTAAAG